TTCAGTTATACCCAGTGTAAATTTATTTGCTATCATGCTATACTTCAGGCATTGTTTAAAAGACATCCTGAGTCTCCATATATCAATTCAAAAGGATGCTAGCATTTTTTCTTCTTGCAGAAAAGAAGGACCAATGTTGTAGATACTTGTTTACTTCCAGAAAAACTCTGGGAATTAGCTTCTACAGACATCATGCAATGTTCATTTTGACATTTATACCTACCTTTTGTATTATACACACTACAAACAACAATAGGGAGTCATTTTACCTCATTCCAACAAATATATTGAGTAAAAAATACATAAAATGGAGAATAAGTTCAAATTTACCTTTTAGAGGAGGATATAAAATTTTCTAGCCCAGAGACTTTATGAAACTCATAACAATAGCAGGGAAATCCAGTGTTCAGAATATCTCTTCCTCAAGTTGTGAATTGCTTTCAGTAGGTTGCAGTCATTCAGAATTTCCCACTTTGTTACATCCCATTTTTGGCACTTGTCACAGTCAGCTCCCTGCCTTATCCTGAGTTTTCAATTGTTCATCCCCAGACTTGGTATATACAATCTACACCTCCTTAGCTATATTTGATACACTAGAGCTTAGTTCTAAAAATGTTTGATTCTTGTGTTATAGCACCAACTTTGTCCAAAAAATGATCAGACAATCTTTTTGCTCAGTTAGTGTATATGCTGGGGAAGCACCTCTGCCTGTTCCAATGGTATAAACACAGTACTTGACAAAGTAGAACCCTGTTTAATTTGTAAACTGACAGCAGGATATCAATGACACTGTGTGTGATGATTCTTGTATCTGCAGTACTCTGTTTGTACTCTCCTGTTGATCAGATGAAGATGTCCTAGTCCACTCTTCTCACACACCCCAAAATTTCATAAAGAGACATAAACAAAGTTGGAGAACTTCACTCATGTCTTAAAGTCAAGTAGAAAATGATACTGATGATAATGATTCTACAGAAGGTAGAGTTATCTTTACCTACTCATGCAGTGAAATTTTCTGTTTACCCTAACCAACTCTCATCTTTGGAGAAACAAAAAGAATTGCACAACTATTCAACAGTGAAATGAAAGAAATACATGGTACAATCCAAGATCATATCCATCATTTGATCAATCAGTAATTATGACAGATTGGTCATCATATGACCACATGTCTATCCATCATACCCCAACCCACAGGCAAACTTAACAGTCAGTAAATGTCATACAATGCACCCCTTACAGCTTATGCTTTAATTGTCCTGCCCCCAGCACTTTCACTTGCACTTCCTACACCTATACATTGGCTGGCAAACATCTCTGTTACACTTGCTGATATGGGTTTTGAAGTCAAGAACTAGCTGATTCTGGTAGAAATAATTCTGATATGCTTCATACCATTGTTATGACATCTACAGGAAATATGTAATTCAACCTATGCTTGCAGGAAATCAATATACACTAACTGGGAAAAAAGAATGTCTGGTCATTTTTTGGACAAAGTTGGTGCTGTAACACAAGAACCAAACATTTTCAGAACTAAGCTCTGGTGTATGAGACATAGCTAAGGAGGTGTAGATTGTACATACCAAGTCTGGGGATGAATGAATGAAAACCCAGGATAAGGCAGAGCATTCACTGTGACAACTTCCAAAAATGGGATTTGACAAAATGGGAAATTCTGAATGACTGCAACCTACTGGAAGCAATTCAAAATTTGAAGCAGAAATATTTTAAACACTCAATCTCCCTGCTATTGTCATAAGCCCCATAAAGTCTCTGAGATATAAAATTCTATAGTCTCCCCAAAAAAGTGAATTTGAATTGATTCCCCTCCTTGGACATTTGCAGTGCAAATATTGCCCAGGATTGATAGGAGAAGGTATCTATTGTCATAGTATTGTACATATACATAACTATTACTGTTCCATGATCTACATTGCCAGGAATAAAGCATTTAATGGCTAATAAAACTTCAAGAAACTGTGAAAATTAAGAGACATATAGTCAATATGGTTCCCAGAAACCCTGCTTCCAAGGGGTTACAGTTAATATGGGTATTTTGAAATGTCCATGCCAAGTGCTTCTACCTATCTCTTGAGTTTTGGGCACAGATGCTTCTCAAATGGCCCACAAAGCTCACTGAAGCATGACAGAGAGATTTCCAAATCAGGCCTAGAAAGGTCTGGGGGTCTCAGATCCTTGTATGAATAGGACCTCTGTTTATTTCCTTGGGATAGTGTTCCTAGGTATGAGAAGTGCCTTGTGAAATATTTTCAGCCCCAATTCACCAAGAAAAATGTCAAGGATTGGTCCAGGACGATTGCTCTATGCAAAATGTACTTTTCTTGGGCACTATTCAAGTTATACCCAGTGTAAATTTATTTGCTATCATATTATACTTCAGGTGTTGTTTAAAGGACATCCTGAGTCTCCATGGATTAACTCAAAAGGGTGGTAGCATTTTTTCTTCTTGCAGAAAAGAAGGACCAATGTTGTAGATACTTG